GGACGAGCTCTGCCACGCCACCATGGGCTCATCGCACCGCCGTCCCCTTGTCCCGCACCGTCATCTCTGGGAGGATCCACTGCGCCGAGACCATCTCCTCCTGCGAACCCCAGCCGCGCTCCTCCTCTCCGTTGCAAAGTTGCGTCGTGCGCCATCAGCACCACACCCGTGCCGCCCGGATGACGTCGCTCCCCCGCGTGAGGGAGGCCTGTCGGGGCATGCTAACCACACCCGCCACTTCCGACGGCCGGGCGCTGCCACCACCCGCCACCCCCGCTTGCTGGCGGCGGCGGTAGCGGCTATGGAAGCTTGGGGTAGGTGGGGAGTTGGCTTCTAGGGTTTCGCCTCCCTAGGTTCACCCACGCGTGTGACCCGGGAGGGGAGCGGAAAGTTATGGACTCACCCTCGTTCTACTAGTTTTGCAAACCAAAAAGATTTATACCTAAGGCCTAATAAGGGAACTTTTCTTAGGAAAAATATTTTGGGAATAAGCTAATTAAGGGCATCTTCAACGGCGGCCCTCAAACTACCTGCAACTGTCCGGATCGTGCAGTATGGATGTGTTGTGCCATCCAACGTGGTTCTGCATCCGTCCGTTAAGCGGTCCGGACGCTATTTACCCCGCAAACCGGAGACAAAGTGGGGAGGCTTTGCAGGCGTCGGGCCGTTGGCACGCCCCACGCCTGACTAACCTGGCCCACGTCAGGCAAAGGGGCAAAATCCCTCTCTCGACCCATTGAGGTGAGAACTCTCCACAATTTAAATCGTGGAGAGCACCCTAGCTAGCAGAGTCCGCTGAATGGACTCAAACGCCAAGTTCCTCGTATTCAGTCAGTCTAAATAAGAGAATACGAAACATATGTAGGTAACACGTAGCACCTGAGAACACCACTAGTGCCACTTACGTTCGAGCTATCCAAGGGGCTGATGAAGAGAAGATAATTCACTCAATTGAAAGGAGAACACACACACACTGGTAGTGCATACCTCAATCAGAAGGTCGATTCTTTTTCAGATACCATGTATAGTACTGTTCCCTGAGCTCGTCGTGAGGTCTCGCAATGGAACATTGATAGCAGGAGTGCCAAAGTAAGCAATGTTACTTATAAGGTCGCGGGCTAACATGGCCAAGAAAAGAGCCACCATGAACTCAATAATGCGATCCTTGAAATCAGGAACTTCTAGTAGATGAGGGAATATGTACCTTTTTTTAGTAGATTAGGAAATCTGTATTATTAGGCACGTATAGAAGAAATATGGGAAGACGGATATTGAGACACTCTGGCAGATCTTTAAAGTAGAATATGGGTTATTCTTAGTAGCCTGCAGAGGCCCATTTTTGTAGTAGCCTACCTACAGAGCAACTAGCTGGATCCACACATGGATTACTCAGCCCGCGGAAGCCGAGGAGCATATGGCTTATGTGTGCAACTGATGGGAGACAGTAGCACAGGTTTGCATGGCGGTCCAACAATAAAATAGGTGTACATGCATATTTTTTTTAAAAAAGGATAATCTCTGGCCTCTGCGTCAAAATGATGCATGCAGCCATTTTTATTGAATTGAAGTTTCCAAACAAAGTCTCATATTCAGAAAAGGCTCACAAAAGGAGCATAAAACCAACAAAGATTAAAAGAACTGCCACAACCGGCAAAAAATAGGCCAAGATGACTAAACATAGTCCTACTATTGGATCGCCATACAAAGCGGTTGTAGATAACCCTTGCTACCATCTTCCGTCGGTTGCACCCAATAGCCAAAAGCTTCCTGGAGTCCGCATGAGTGAGTAATAACCATGTACGGATCCAAACAGTGGCTCTGTATATAACCTGCAAAAAGTTGATGAATTTTCTTCCGTTAAAGATTATATCATTTCTGCAGTTTCATATAGCCCAAAGTAGTGCACATATCCCTATCCGAATAAGTCCCACTATATTTGATTCCACTGTGGTTAGCCATGTCCCAAATAACATGTCGATACTAATTGGAGGAGTAACATTAAAGGCTATATGTATCATGCGCCAAAGTAGTTTGGCAAGAGGAC